TATAGAACATATTCGACTTTTTTTGCTCGTAAGGAGTAAATTATCGTTCAATTTTCAGCATTAATTATCATGCTAGAATAATTGCGATAATCTAGACTCAGAATTTAAAAGTCTCACAGACTTGCTTCATCGGATCTTGAGAGCTAGTTATGTGAACTGAATCTGACGTTATGTTGAATATATGGTTCAGCGTTTATTATTGTGATGAATGGCATGGATGAACTGAGCCAAAGTGCAGATATAATTGATCTTCTGACTCTAAAAATTATAGGACTTTTTGATATCGAATTTTGTTCAGGAAAATGTTAGCCTGAACTCTCGGAAACACCGTATCCCAATTATCATTAGTTTTATGGCACATCATGACCTTTGCAATGGTCCGAATAATTACACTTTTGAAAGCTTTTGAATCACCTGATAGTAGTTGTTGCACCCTCTTGATCTCCTGCTAATAAGGCATTTTTATGCTATAACTTGTTACTGCAAAGAACGGACATCACGTTCAGACCAAATAAATATGCAAAGACTCTTCAGAATGGTTATTAAGACCAGAAGTTTACCTTAACGTGAAATAAGTTATATAAGGGATGATACCACAACTGTTTAGCACATGTTTGGTCAAAGGCTTGGCTTCACTTGTCTCTTTGACGAGTTGTTGTGTGGTGTTAAGAGTGACAAGAGTCACTTACGATGCCGACTACGATGCCGGCGAAACGTCTGGCAATGTACCACGTCCACGGTCCTACTTTGGGAATGATCAAGCATACAATAGACTCCGGACTAGGTTCGTTCCTCTAAGTCTTCCTACCAATATGACGAAGTTGCGAAAACGAGGTCAAACAACTTATATACAACGAAAGGAGACTGCGATCACACAAAAAGCCATATCATCTTGGTCTTCATACCTATAATTTGTGTTGTTCGTTATATTGAAAGGGAAGGTTGATTAAGAATTGTTAAACGCTAAAAACTCATTCATTAGGAGATTTATACTAAATTATTTTAGTAATAGGGGAGATACTTATGAAATATTAAGTTTTGTAAAAATGCAGGTTACTTTCGTTTAGTCCGACAATGACAAGCAGGATTATGCGATCAAAGTCAGAAAAGATTGATGGAATTTGATTGCACAAGAGTCACTAGTTCACAGAAATTTGATATGTTCCCATACTCATTTCTATTAGTTTCAGTCTTCGGAATTCTTTCTCGATAGATGACACTCAGCCAAGCGCAAAGCATTAACGTAATAAATTTTTTTCTTGAACTTTAAGTTTTTACGATAATTGCATTTATGAACTGGGATTGGCAGATAATATTGGCAAGCAACGACAAAGTAATTAAAGGTAATTTGTCATAGCCACTCTTTATTTTAGTAGCTATGAATTTCATATTGCTATATTAATTTTACGTTAAGAAAACTATTGATTACTAAAGGTTATGATAAAAAAAAGGAACTCTGGATTTGTATAGACTTCGGATAACTAAACTATTTGTTATATCCGTGAAGCCCTTATATATGTTCTAGTTTACCAAAGTTAAATATCCTCAACTAAATAATTGCAGAAGTGGGTTGACCTCGTTGTCCCAACTTGATCTTGTTGTCAGGGCGACTTAGTAGAAGGCACGTAGTCCGAAATCCTCTGTCATAGTAGTTATCAGGATTCCCAGCATCAGATAGTGGGCTTGGCACATTCTCAGACGTCCGATGCTGGGAATAATGATAACTACTATGGCAGATGACTTCGGACTAGGTGCGTTCTACTAAGTCGTCTAACAACAAGACCAAAGTCAGCCTACTCCTATAAATCTAAAGGAGACTGCGACCATACCAGGGGCCACACCATCTTGGTCTTTATATTTTCGAATATAATTACACTTTCGACTAAAACGTAAATTTAAAAAATAAAACGCCGGAATCTGCATTTTCTAGTTTGTGTTTAATCAACCGAG